TAGTAGAGACGGGGTTTCACCATGTTGGCTAGGCTGTTCTCAAACTCCCGACCTCAAGTGAGCCTCCACCTCAGCCTCCCGAAGTGCTGGCATTACAGGTGTGAGCCACTGCGTCCAGCCTTTAATTTCATTTTAAAGCACCATACTAAGCTATTACCTACTAGACTAGTAAAGGATGTCATCTTTCCTCTATGTTTTTTCACGCATCTTTTCTGTCAAACTCTTTGCAAACTCAAAATCCCAGCCAAACAAACCAATCTAAACTTAACTCTCTCAATATCCACAGCCATTCTCCGTTACAGAAACAGCCCTCTGTAACCTTCAAACATCTTTAAATAGGTATGCACAGCTGCAGGATTGCAAATCTGCACCGTACCTTCCAGGGGCTACAATAACATTAAGATGCCAAGATCTGGTCTGCAAGAGCCTCCTGGCTATACTTGAGGGTGGTGGATGTGGTTAATTTCAGCCCTATTAAAGCACCTTTGAAACTTGCCACTTTCTAGATTAAGTAATCTTAAAGTTACCCTAAGTAATCAAATCGGGCAATATATCTGCTGATTTACAGATACCAAATATTGCGTGCCTTATGGTATGCAGTCAGAGGTTCAGAAAGCTCTGGACACTCTTACTGCATCTTCCTGGGGCTACAACTTTTATTTGAAAACTGGGGAGAAAGAATCCAAGTAATTTTACACAGTGTTGTATTTTTTAAATGTATATATTGGCTGGGCGCGGTGGCTGAAGCCTGTAATCCCAGCACTTTGGGAGGCTGAGGCGGGTGGATCACGAGGTCAAGAGATCGAGACCATCCTGGTCAACATGCTGAAACCCCGTCTCTACTAAAACTACAAAAAATTAGCTGGGCATGGTGGCGCGTGCCTGTAATCCCAGCTACTCAGGAGGCTGAGGCAGGAGAATTGCCTGAACCCAGGAGGCGGAGGTGCGGGGAGGTCCAAAACACGCCATTGCACCCCCGCGGGGGTAAAAAGAGTGAAACCCCGTCTCTAAAAAAAAAAAAAAAAAAATGTATGTATTGCAGATAAAGCCTATTTCATAAGAATTAGCTTGTATCTGATATTTCCACTGAAGCAGTCAGTTCCGGCTGTCCCCAGACTACTGAGAGGGTATTTTTCCCTTCCTCTGGTATTAGATGTACTTCAGGAAATCTTTGAGAAATATCACATTATTTTACTCTACCTCCTTTTTTCTATGTCTACTGAAATACTCTAGACAATGTTTCCTTTTATTATTTACTTCTTTGTGTCTAAGTTTTGTAACTCTCCCTGAAGCGCAAGGTGTAGAGGGCACCCCTCCAGCGTTTACTATACCCAACACAGGACCTTGAAAACAGAAAGCTGTCAATAAACAGAACTGAATGTGAGAATTCAGAGTATTTAGGAGAGGTAAACTAAGGCCTTTTTAATACTGGAAGAGGGCAATTGGAGATAAGAAGCCAGGTGCCTAGACACAGGCTCCCCTAGCTATAAAAGGTGCTATGAGGAAGGGAAAAAAACCAGAGCCCCAACGAACACACAGACTTAAGATCTGGATATCAAATCAAGCAGATGAGAGGTGAGGAGCCAGGGAGAATGGCTAGAAGGTTCTTTCATTTAAGATCTTTTGGCAAGCTACAGCGTTATAGGGGTGAGTGCGGGACACCTGGCTGCTGACAAAAGCAGCCCAGACATTTTACCTGCTTACCTAAAATCTTAACATTACAAAACATTCACTATAAAAACAATTCTGGTGGTCTATTCAAGCTTGGTAGAATGAGCATTCAGTTAAAAAAAAAAAAAAAAAAAACACTAAAATTTATTTCCTTGCATAATCTTCTAGCACAAATAGATCCAGTTAAAAAAATATATTAAGAGTGAGGACATTGGTGTCAGACTCACCACTAAACTCTTTTGCTAGGTGGACAAGCTAGGTTACTTAAGCACTGAAAGTTTCAATTTACCTGTCTATAAAATGGGGACAATATTAATATATCTATTTCATAGGATCATTGTGATGAGCAACTGAAATCATGCATGTATAGTTCATTATAGCACATAGTAAGAGCTTCATAAACTATCATAATTAAAACTACTATTAGTTGATTTTTAAAGAGGTAACCAATGACTGGAAAAACATGTTAGTTCTTTGCTCTCAGTTACTAAACCTACATATAGCCTACTTCTCTGGACCTGAAAAGATAACTCATCATTATATGATTCAGCCACAGTACCTGCCATCAAGGAAAAATCTATAGTGACAACAAAAATCATTACAGTCAAATTGTCCCTATTCCAAAAGGTAAATTGATCATTTACTTAAGTGCATTTTCATCTCAGCTGTTCAGCATCATACACCATTAATAAAAGTTATGCAATACATTTATTGCCTCCAAGGAATCGGTTTATTACTACAGCTTCAAAAAAGCATCATCTCAGTAGTTAATAGATATCTGCATTCCAGCACGCCTTAACAAAAACATTCCCAGACCCAGTAATAAAATTTGTTTATCCAAGCAAAGAAACAAGTTAACACACTCACACAAACCTCCAAAAAGTTTCCCAAGTATAATTTAAATGGAGTGACCAGCTTAGAATGTGATCATAGCTTAAGTGGCTAGGGTTAAGTTGCTGCATTTATTGTTACAGCCTATTTGGGCTTTCACTATTACATTTTTACTGATTTTTATTTGATCAAATGAAAGTATATAATATCAGATAATGACATGGCTATACATGAACAGTACGGTTATGGCAAAAGAATCTTTTCACATAGCAATATGACTAATGTCCTCTTAAAGACTGGAAATATTTTATAATGAATGGTAACTGAAAGAATACATAGACCACTGTCTTGGACAAGATGTGGATGAATGCTGGCATCATGCCTCATTCTTCCAAAGAGAAACAAAAAAGCACACTGTCAAGCAGAGTTGAGCCTGAGCTGCCAGGGAAGTAAAGGCACAAAGATCATTATTCTCCATCTACACAGTGTTTTTTTGTGAGTCGATTTCAAGAAACGCAGTATCCCACATGTTTACAGACTTCATTTTTCTGCTATCCTACCCAATTTTGACACACTAAAGCAATTTCTGAGACTATTTGGAAAAACGGCATTTTTAAGTTGCAGATTTCATTATGTACCCATAGAGCCACCCCATTTTTAAGGTGTCACCATAGAGATGATGATTTTTGGTGACCTATATTATTTTATGACTTTTTCTGTTCTAACTTAACTTCGAAGTGTGTGTTCTACTTTTAAGAGATTGACCTACTACAGCCATCTCACCACCTTAAATGCACATGATAGGATTTTTCAAATCATATTAATATTTACAGCCCTTAACTCATTGGAACTCCGCTGAGGAAATAAGCTGTATAGATAATTATCTCCATTTTACAGATGAGGAAACTAAGACTTAAGGTTAAGTGACTTACCCAAACAACAGAATCAGGATAGGAATCTCAATCTGCCATGTCCAAATCAACCCTCTTTCTATACCACCTTAAATAACTATGGATATTCCTTTTAAGCCTACAATTCTACCACACTGGATTTAACTCTGTAGCAAATAAAAATTTCATTTTCACAATATCATTTATAATTTTCATGTCTTATTTATAATCTTCTCACTTGAAAAACTCTCATTCTTATTGCTCTTCCATTATTCTTACCATGTAACTATTTTAACTGCCAATGTATTATATATTTACATGGAATGATTATAAAAATCCATAAATATCTTTGAAGAAGATATGCATCTCATGTTTGAAGTATTATTTTTATTAATATGGGGTGATTAATGATACTGATCAGAAAGCATAAAATTAAATCTCAATCTTTTATTCCAAAAGCTAAGCACAAAGTAAAACTTATTCACCTAAAATGCTGTGCTGTTTATCTGGGCCATTAACATGTATGTACTTCAATGTTCTGTACACAGACAGCAACTGCCTGCTATGATTCTGAATAGTGAAGATTTTTATTTAGCAACCAGAACTGAGGAATTCCAACTGTGTCAACTTGTACAACTACATCTGGCTGTCGAGTGTTCCAAGCTTTGGAAGACATGTTATTTCTAATTATCATATTACTGCAAATAATAGAGACTTCCATACAAATGATACACACAATTTATGTCAGGCTTTAATCAGCATGTAATCAGCCTATAATTAGGTCACCATTCAATTTAAAAACTTAAGGAAATATATATGCTATTGTCACCTCTTCAAGTATTTTTGGCTTACTTCAAAACTTCTTATCATCGGTTCTACAAATACTACAAATTTTAGGTGCTGTCATTTTTATTTTCCACAGTTCATACATACTAAGAAGATAAATTCTATTTAAAATACTTATTTTGGAACAGGGTCTTGCTCTGTTGCCCAGGCCAAAGTGCAGTCACATGATCATTGCTCACTGCAGCTTCAACTGCCTGGGCTCAAGCTATCCTCCCTCCCCAGCCTACTGAATAGCTAGGACTACAGACATGTGACACCATGCCCAACTAATTTTTTTTAAAAAAAATTTGTAGAGGTGAGGTCTTACTATGTTGCCCAGGCTGGTCTCGAGCTCCTGGCCTCACGCCATCCTCCTGCCTTAGCTTCCCAAAGTGCTGGGATTACAGGCATGACCCACCATGTCTGGCCAAAGATGACACATTGTAAGGCCTCTACCCAATTTTAGAAATGTTAAAATATTAAAACTGTGAAACTTAGGCTCAGTTGAGTTATAGTGTATCTTTATATTTTATATTTCCATCAGTCATATTAAATAATGACATTATATAGCGCATGACATTGTCAATTAAGGAAGGGCATTATCCCTAACCTCAAAAAGTTAGTAACCTAATGAGACAAACAGCATATACTGCTCTGCCTCAACTTCCTTTTCCTATCTTTGAACACCACAAAACCCTAACACCATGAAAAACCTACTTTGTAAATAGATCTCTGTTGTCACTATTATGACAGTGGAAAATAAGAAATAAGTTCTTTCTTTCCTTCCTGCATATATAGGGCCTGAAGCCTTCAACCAACCTACCACCAGTCCCTTGGGTTTGTTTTTGGCAGAGGCTCTAAGCCTAAAACAAGACAATGAGCTGACAATGGCTACCAGCAGCTGCTTATTTATATAAGCCATCTGAAAACCCTAGAAATGCTGAAACAGTGAAATTGTGGGCAATATTTTGGCAAGGGCTCTCCAGATAATGAACAAGATAGTACTAATCTCTCTCTGCATTTTCAGAACGAAAACTCATGAGATGTACAAGTGAGAAATAAAATTGTGTGTATACTGTTACTGTTTTTTCCAGGTGCCCATAACTTTTTAAGTATGGCAAATTGTCTGTAATCTAAGACTCACATTCATCTTCAGATGCTATGCAGTGTAGGACCCAGCTCACTGTGATTCAAAGTTAGTGACTTTTATGATAAATGATGTAAAGTTTGTGCCCTAATTACCACCAGGTTTGTGGTTGGGATGGGACAGGAACAAACATTGTCTTCAGCCTCTGCATATACACGTGCACACACACACTCTTACGCCCTAGCATTTATCACTATTTTACCCACAGCATATTTTACTCACTAATCTGCCACCAGCAACCCCCTCCATTAGAATGTAAATTCTATGAAAACATAAATGTCAGCCTATTTTGTTCACTGTTCAACAAACAGATTTGGACTTAGTATATAGAAGGCACTTAGCTAATTTTCCATAAACAGATGAATGAGACCAAAAGCGTCCAGAGTTAAAGTCTTCTTAAGATATGTGTATCCTATAGTGGAATAGAACTGGACAAGCACAGCACTTTTTTGTTATTACTTTCATGTGAAAACAAATACAAACATATTACAGAATAAAGTAAAAAATATACATTAATGAAACTTTGGCTTGTCATTATCAGAATGAAGTTACATAGTGATTAGTCTTATTAGGAAAGAGGGGTAGGTGTTTGGAATGGGGTATGGCTTCCCTCTGTTCTCCCTTGAGGAGTGATTTTATAGGAAGGTATAGAAAGCATAATACTGGAACTAAAGCATCACATACAGAAACAGCATCCTTTTTAAAAATACATCTATAGCCAGGCACCATGGTTCACGCCTGTAATCCTAGCAATTTGGGAGGCCGAGGCAGGTGGATCACAAGGTCAGGAGATGGAGACCATCCTGGCCAACATGGTGAAACTCTGTCTCTACTAAAAATAAAAAACTTGGCTGGCATGGTGGCGTGCGCCTGTGACCCAGCTACTCAGGAGGCTGGGCAGGAGAATCGCTGGAACCTGGGAGGCAGAGGCTGCAGTGAGCTGAGATCACACCACAGCTTTCCAGCTTGGGTGACAGAGTGAGGCTCTGTCTCAAAAAAAAAAAAAAAATCTATAAAGAAATTAATGTTTCTACTTATGCATTTCAGTATAATCAAAGACTAAAATTAAGTTTTCCCAGAAGTTTATTTCCTACAATTATGGAATAGAACTCAGCAAGTAGAAAGAAGGAGATAATTAGGAATAGCCTGAACCCAAGGTTCCTTAAAGTACCAGTCGGTTTCTGAGAATCATAAAGTTAGCACCTAACATGAAAGATCTTCATTTCCCTACTAACCCTTTCAAGCATGTCTGATTTCTAGGTCACTGCTCAGTGCCCTTAATTCCAAATTGAGAAAGATTTCTTTAATGATCCTGCACAATCTAGTAGTGTTCATGTTTACAATGAATGGTAAAAACCTGTATTCATAAATATAGATAAAACTATTAAGGAGAATCTTATCAATTTGGTGAGGAATATTTTTTAAACATCTCCCATACTAACCAGTCTAAAATTAATTGAAACTCATTTTATCATGTGGTCATAAGTAGCACTAATGGGAATTAAAGTTAAAGGTTTACAATTTGAATGTTCATCTGGGGCAACGTGACCAAACTGGCAGATTAGAGGCAGACTCTACCACTTGGAAAGACAAAATAGTGAGTAGAAATTCACACTGTTAACTTTTTTCCAAGGAGCAATGCAGGAACTTAACAGGAAAATAGGAAGAAACCACGGACTCTTTGAAACAAACTGCAGGCTACAGCCTACATTGTGAGGCAGGTGGAAAAACTGTAATTCTCCAGAGTGTGTGTGAGAGAGAGAGACACTGTGTCCAGGGTACACACTCTCACCGGGAAACCTGGCAATCCAGCCTACAGAGGAAGGCCTTAATCCTACCCTGTGTGGGAACTGACATAGCAAACAGTGGGGTATGTAAAAGTAGGCACAGCAGCAAGAAGAGCCTTGCACGCATTTCCAGTCTTCAACACAGATGGAGGAAACCCACTCCTGCCTGATTCTACATGACAGGGGACCTCAGAAAAGTCTGCCAACCAACTCAGGCAGTGGCAGAAGTTTGAAAGAAGCTCTCAAGTGAAATTCATAATATAATCTCAAGTGAGGACAAACTCCCTTTGGGAGAACCAGGGGGTGAGTGGGAAGCACTTTCCTTGAAATTGCTGCAGCCACAGGCACAGGAGCTGGGCACCCCAGCTTTGTGGGAAGATGAGGAGTGGCATGGCCTGTCTTCAGGGAAAAGAATTATGGCCTGGGGCAGTCTTGAGCATAGACTGCCTGGAATTTAGCTAGTTGCTAGCGAACACTGCAGGTGAGAGACCTGCCTTACCAACTGCATGGGAGCTGAGTGAGGCTTCCTGCTGCCTGCTACTCCCAACTCCCTGAACAAACTCTTCTGTGCAGCAGAGGCGACATTCCTTCCTGGAACATCACCCCAGTGGCCAGAGAACCAGTCCCCTCACCTCCACAGGAGCCTCTGCTTGCCCTGTACACAGAACCAGAGCAAGAACCTGCCTGACCCAGCCCCAACCTGGCTGTGCCCCCTTGACCTGCCCCAGTAGCTTAACACAAAGGACAAAACTTCTGGGAGCCCCAGCCATCACCAGGAAACCAGAGTACATCCCCTGAGTAACATAAAGCAAGCATAAATCCCACCACTACTAAGGCAGCTGCCACTCTCTTGTGAGCATCACCTTGTGGCTGAAAGCCAACCAACACAGCCCATTACAGCATCCACAGGTAGAATAACACTGCACCCAGGAAGGAGAAAACCTGTGCAAGAGCTGAGCTATCACTACAGCCTGCACCACCCAGGCTAACCAGAAGGTCCCAAGTCTGTCCACAGGACCAGTTCATTACTATTACAACCAGAATTTGAGAAAGCCAATAAACTAAGACTATAACCAACCCTTGCCACCCCTATCAGAATGTGTGCTGGTACCCACTGCTGAGAGGGCTGAAGATAGGTCACATCACACTCTCTGCAGACATTCCCCAGCACCAGCCGGAAATGTGGGGCAGGCTCACTGGGTGAGGAACAACAGTAGTCATAGTAGTATGGCTCTCAGGGACTCATACCCCCCAGCGAAGAGGGAGTCCCCCACATTAAGGGAGCACACAGTGAGACAAAAGAATCCAGATGGCAAGCCTTGAATCCCAGATCCCGGATGTACACTGGTGGGAAGTTTCTTTCGGCAGTGACACAGTTGCAGTGCTGGGCTCAGCTGGGATAGTTTGCAGCTCTACTCCAGCAGACAGGCAGACCTGGTGCTCATGAAGAGTCTTGGAAAAGGAAACTACTTTTCCCCCTCATCCACGACTGTGAAATAACTGGGGCTTCTCTCACAGGAGCTTGGTGTGGGTGCACCTATAGATAGCCTTTCTGGATCACTGCAGAGTGACTGAATCCCCACAGGTGGAGCACCCTCTAGATTCAGGCTTGCACGAGAGGTATAGTCACAATTCCTTTCTGCTTGGAACATCAACATTTCTGCAGATGAAAAAAGGTATCTGCTGGGCCAGGCACGGTGACTCACACCTGTAATCCCAGCACTTTGGGAGGCCAAGGTGGGTGGATCACCTGAGGTCGGGAGTTCGAGACCAGCCTGGTCAACATGGTGAACCTTCATCTCTACTAAAAATACAGAAAGTAGCTGGGTGTGGTAGTGGGTATCTGTAATCCCAGCTACTCAGGAGGCTGAGGCAGGAGAATCACATCAACCCAGGAAGCAGAGGTTGCAGTGAGCCAAGATCGTGCCATTGCACTTCAGCCTGGGTGACAGAGCAAGACTCCATCTCAAAAGAAAGAGGAAAAAAAAAAGGTTCCTGTCTGATCTGAATAGCCAGAACCCTGGGATAGGAATGTGTCTGCAAGATGGATTGCTTCCCTGCTGGTCTGGCAGGGGAGCTGAGGTGGTTCCCCCTTACCTGTGATAACACCTCAGTATGTTTCAGTGAGGGCTCTCCTAGCTACTACTTCTGTCAAAGCTGGGACCTCTGTCCACCATTGAGTATTGCCATTTACTCATCTGCTTTAGCCACAACTGGTTTCTACCCAGGAACACCTCTCCTACTGGCCTGAAGACTGAACAATTCAATCCAGCAAATAAAATACTGCAGAAAAAAAACTAAAAAAAAAAAAAAGTATTTAAAAAAAAAAAGTACACATCACCCAGGTGTGGTGGCTCATGCCTGCAATCCCAGCATTTTGCGAGGCTAAGGAGGGATGATCATCTGAGGTCAGGAGTTCAAGACTAGCCTAGCCAACATGATTAAACCTCATCTCTACAAAAATACAAAAAATAACCAGCCATGGTGGCAGGCGCCTGTAATCCCAGCCACTCAGGAGGCTGAGGCAGGAGAATGGCTTGAACCTGGAAGACGGAGGCTACGGTGAGCCAAGATCGTGGTATTGCACTATAGCCTGGGAAACAACAGCAAAACTCCGTCTCAAAAAAAAAAGTATACACCAAGGAATAATGAGGCAAGCTTCAAGACATCTGCAGTTTAAGACCTATAGGAGGCGGCGACCTTGCTCACACACTGAACACATTGCTACTACAACCAGTATCTGAGAAAGTCATCATATAAAGAGTCTCTATAACCAAGAAACTCAAACAGAGTCTTCACTACTGAAAGCACCAAAAGCAAGAGCCAAATTGTAATGCCAGCTGCTTCGCTAGGAGACCGGACACACCCACCTATTCTGCACCCAGCATCTAACTCTGCACCCAGCACCTATCTCTGCACTCGGCACCTATCTCTGCATTCGGCATCGGTCTCTGCTCCCAGCACCTGCCTCTGCACTCGGCACCTAGCTCTGTGCATGGTTCCCCTGGAAGGCTCCAGCTGATGCAACCCTGGCCAGCTCTTGCACTAGAAAAACCCGCCCAACAACCTGCCAACCAATAGCGGCCCGCCCTGTCCCAATCCTGCTTCCCTGGAGCCAATCAGAACACCCTGCTGTTGCTCGTTACTCATAGCCACAAAAACCCCACACCCCAGGAAGTCAACACGACTTCTCTGGCCCCCCTTCCCCGGACCACAGAACCTCACCTGGGAGCTGAATAAACTGGCATTTAATTTTTTATACTGGCCTCAGTTTCTTCATTTTAAACTCGTGAATAACCCTGACACAAATTAGGCTACAATAAATTATAAACAGTAAAGTAACATTCTCAAGGGGCAAAAAAGAAATTAAACATACACACAGAGTCAAATATAAAATAAATTCAAGAATAATCAGAAGAAATACTCTACCCAAATGAGAAGGAACCAGAAAAATAACTGGTAATATGACAAAACAGGGTTCTATAACAACGCCAGAAGATCACACTAGATCTCCAGCAATGGATTCGAACCAAGACAAAATCTTTAAAATACCAGATAAAGAATTTTCAAAAAGTTGATTATTAAGCTACTCAAGGAGATACCAGAGAAAGGTAAGAACCAACATAAAGAAATCAGAAAAAAAATTTAGGATATAAATTAAAAATTTTCTCAAGAAGTAGATATTTTAGATATTTTAAAGAAAAACCAGTCGGAATTCCTGGAAATAAAAGACACACTTAGGAAATTACAAAATGCAATGGGAAGTTTTAATAACAGGTTAGAACAAGTAGATGAAAGAATTACAGAGCTCGAAGACAAGACTTTCAAATTAACCCAATCAAACAAAAATTAAAAAGACTCAAAAGAAATGAACAAAGCATCCAATAAGCATGAGATCACGAAAAATGGCCAAACCTAAAAAAAACTTGTGTTCCTGAGGAAGAAGAGAAAGCAAAATGTTTGGAAAACTTAAGAGGGAATAATTGAGGAAAGCTTTCCTAGGCTTGTCTGAGATCTAGATATTCAAATCCAAGAAACTCATAGAACTCATGGGTGATTCATTACAAATGGATTTCACCAAAGCATATACAGAGTCAATGTGAAGAAAGGCATTCTAAGAGTGGTGAGATATAATAGCAGTGAGATAAAAGCACCAGGTAACCTATAAAGAAAAACTCATCAGACGAAAAGCAGGCGTCTCACTAGAAACCTTAAAAACCAGAAGACTGGGGACCTATCTTCAGCCTCCTTAAACAGAATAACTGTCAGCCAAGAATTTTGTATACAACAAAACTAAGTTTCATAAAAGAAGAAGAAATAATTTTCAGACAAACAAATGTGGGGAGAATTTGTCACTAACAGACCAGCCCTATAAGAAATGTTAAAAGGAGTTCTAAATCCTAGGTCAATATGCACCAGATAGAACCTCTTGAAAGCATAAAACTCACAGAGCCTATAAAACAATAGCACAATTAAGAAAACAAAGTAACACTTAACATGATAATTGGAAAGCACCTCAAGTCTCAACATTTACATTGAATGTAAATAGCCTAAATGCTCCACTTAAAAGATACAGATTAGCAGAATGAATAAAAAAAAAAAATCACAAACCAAATATCTGCTCTCTTCAAGAGACTCACCTAACATGTAAGGATTCATAGAAATTCAAGGTAAAGGGATAATAAAAGGTATTCCACACAAATGGAAACCCAAAGCGAGCAGGAAGAGTAGCTATTCTTATGTCAGATAAAATAGACTTTAAAGGAACAACAATAGAAAAAGACAAAGGTAGTCATAATATAATGGTTATATGTTATGTTATAATGATTATATATATTATATATAATCATTATAATATAAAGTTGTATATAAGGATCAATGCAACACAGAGATATTACAATCCAATTTATATGCACCTAACACTGGAGGTCTCAGATTCATAAAATATTTACTATTAGTCCCAGCTCTGCTGGTATTAATGTACTATGTGACCTTATATGACAACTTACTAGATGACAACTTCTTGGACCCAAGGGAATGAGAATACAGATGATAACCACAGACAGTTCTAAAGTATCATCAGCAGAATGCCTGGTAGGTAGCAAGAGTTAAACTGAGAAAGCTTCATAATTAATAGGATTTGCTACTTCAAATTATAAAACACTTTAATTCCACAGGCACCTCAAAGCACTTCAAATATATAACCACCACATCCCAGATGTCATACATCTGAAAACTTGAAAAGTAGAAACCTCAGAACTTCACAGTCACTACTCCTGCACTGTGTTCCTAAAGGAAAACCAATTGCAGTCACTAAATAAGACAGACGTTAAGACCATTTCAACCTCAGGATCACCTCTGTATTTCAAAGTTTCCAAGGAAATGAAGGAAGACACTGATGCCAGTTTGACAATCAGCTAACATTACAACACACGGGCATGTATTAATACACACAAAAATAAGACCTCCTCTCTCAACGAGGAGAAGTTAGCCTGGTGAGGAATTAGCAGATTACTTTAATCAATAGGAGCAGAGCAATGATAGTATTTGATCCACACGAAGCAAAAAGCAGGTGTTTTGAAACATGAGTAGAAACTAGTTTGGGGACAGAAAAGGGGAGAAAACTATTCAGATCAGCTGCCCTTGGCTTTTTATTTCCCAAAGTGGTCACTAAGGTTTCCTCTAGAATTTTTTAATTGAAAACCCCACAAAACTAAATTGAGAGTCTCAGGTTAAAGCAGACAACCTTACCAATTTCCCTCTAAACCAGGGCATGCTGGAACTGCACACTGCAGTCTCTAGTACAATGCAAAGTACTGCTTGCTCTAAACATTAGTTAAGGAAAAAATAACAATTTTCAGATTAAAATAAATGCTTCTCCAACTAAGTTATTTTGATTTCACCAAAATTCATTTCTGCTTTCACAACGGGACACTGTGGGGCAGAAGTCTCCCACACAGAGAAACCTGCTTTCCAGACAGTAGCTCAGTAATGCATGTCCTCTACCTAGCACTTTGCTTTAGGCTTAAAGCAGCCAGCTGGTAGGCCAATAATTTAGATTCTTAGTAACCATAGTAACTACAGAGGGTGAGGAAGCTAGGTCTTCACGGGTCTTCAATCTGGACTAGGGGCTGCAGATAAAAAGCAGGGAATGTGCAAGGATCGGTAACACAGCAGACATGTACTAACAGGGAACAGCCCACAACTGCGTTTCCTTTATCTCACCCTCTATTCATACACACTTAACCTTCATCCCTTTACAGACTGAGTTGTGCCTTGTGGCTTCAGGAAGCATCACATCTTACTAACCCTAAGAGTAAGATTTATTCGGCCAGGTGCAGTGGCTCACGCCTGTAATCCCAGCACTTTGGGAGGCCAAGGTGGACAGATCACTTGAGGTAAGGAGTTTGAGAACAGCCTGGCTGACGTGGTGAAACCCTGTCTCTACTAAAAACACAAAAATTAGCCAGGCATGGTGGCGCACATCTGTAATCCCCACTTCTCGGGAGGCTAAGGCAGGAGAATCGCTTGAACCCAGGAGATAGAGGCTGCAGTGAGCAGAGATTGTGCCACTGCACTCCAGCTTGGGAGACAGAGTTAGACCCCAACTCAAAAAAAAAAAATATATATATATATAGGGTTTCTTCTTTCCTCTCTTTATGTACTCTTCAAAGTAGCCTTATAGTCAGTCAAATCTGTTTGTTTTTCCCCTCAAGCCCATGGGACTAAAATAAGGCCACAT